CCTCCCTCCCCCCCCTCTCAAAAATAAACAAATGTGTGTGTGTGTGTGTGTGTCCACACACACACACCTTCCATATATACATATATGGAAATGGTTCTTTTGAATCAATGAGCATCTAGATTTTTTGTTAAGCAGGAAGCTCCATACATATAGCTGACATCTATGTTTAAGAAATCTTGGTCCTGGTCAAGCAAACACTTGAAGTGAAAGAATTAACTATGTAGGAGTCTGGAGCATTGTGTTTCTCCAGGCAGGGACAGCACTGATATTCAGCAGGTACACATACAGGGAAGGCTGTTCCAATTACTTATGGCTGGCCTCCCTCTTGGATGGTCAAGGCACTGTTCAACCAGTGCCTAAAATATTTTTAACGTCCCTAGAGAAACAGCCAGTGCTAAGACTCTGAAGTGGGAACGTGCCTGGTATGTTTAAGGAAGAACACGAAGGCCAGTTTGGCTGTTGTGAGTGAACAAAGGGAGGAGGAGGAGGAAGTGAGCTCAGAGAGGTAATAGGGACTGACCACTGTATGCACTTTGACATTGACTTGGAGTAAGCTGGGGACAGCTGGAGGGTTTTGAGCAGAAGGGTGACACGATGTGGCTTCTTTTTTTGTTATTTTTTATTAGTTTTTTTAACTCCAGTATAGTTAATGCACAGGATTGTATTAGTTTCAGGTGTACAGCATCCTGATTCAACAATTCCATACATCACTTGGCACTCATCGTGACGACTGTGCTCCTTAATTCAAAATATGTACAGAACTTACACAACCCAACACCCCAAAACATAATCCAATGAAAAATAGGCAGAAGATGTGGCTTCTTTTATACAGGATCTGGAGGCTGTGCTGAGAAGCAGCTGTAGGGGAACAAGTGGAAAAGCCAACAGACCAGTTAGGATGCCGTTGTCTTCCTGCAAGTGAGACACTGGGCTTTGGAACAAGGGGATAGAAATGGAGGTTGTGAATCCTGTGCACTGTTGGTGGGAATGCAAACTGGTGCAGCCACTGTAGAAAGCAGTATGGAGGTTCCTCAAAAAGTAAAAATTGAAGTACCCTACAGCCCAGCAATTGCACTACTGGGTGTTTACTCAATGAAAAGGAAAGCATTAATTCAAAAAGATACACGTACCCTTATGTCTATTGCAGCATTATTTACAATAGCCAAGATATGGAAGTAGCCCCAGTGCCCCATGATAGACGAGTGGATAAAGAAGTAGTAAATGTATACAATCGAATATTGCTCAGCCATAAAAAAGAATGAGTTCATGAGGCGCCTGGGTGGCTCAGTCGGTGAAGCGTCCGACTTCAGCTCAGGTCATGATCTCACGGTTTGTGGGTTCGAGCCCCATGTCAGGCTCTGTGCTGACAGCTTGGAGCCTGGAGCCTGTTTCGGATTCTGTCTCTGCTCCTCCCCCACTTGTGCTCTGTCTCTCAAAAATAAATAAATACAAAAAATTTTTTTTAAAAGAATGAGTTCATGCCATTTGTGACAATGTGGATGGACTTAGAGGGTATTAGGCTAAGGGGAGTCAGACAGAGAAAGAAAAATACCACATAATTTCACCTATAGGTGGATTCTAAAAATCAAAATGAATGAACACACCAAGACAAAACCAGAAACAGATTCATGTATACAGAGAGCAGACTGGTGGTTGCCAGAGGAGAGGGGAATGAGGGGGTTGGGTGAAATAGGTGAAGGGGATTAAAAGGTACAAACTTCCATTTATAAAATAAGTTAAGTCGTGGAGATGAAAAGTGGAGGATGGGGAATATAGCCAATAATATTGTAATAACATCCTATGGTGACAGATGGTGACTATGCTTATGGTAGTGAGCCCTGCATAATGCACAGAATTGTTGAATCACTATGCTATCTACCTGAAACTAACATCATATGGCAATGATACTTTAATAAAAATAGTTATTATCTAAATACTGAATATAAAAACTAAATATTTATTTAAAATATCGACTCTTCCTGTAGTGCAACTTCGGAAAGATAAATCATAAACTTAAAAAAGAAAAGCAGAGACTGTAAACAGCCAGATTCTATAAATATTTTTCAGGAAAAGCCAAAAGGCATCCAGACAGATTGAATAAAAATAGAAGATTTCTTTAAATACTTATAGTCTGAATTGTACTTGCTGATAAGGTAAAAGGCAGATTTAAAATTTATAAATATTTATACTAAGCTCAGCAAGCAGTAGTGTTCCATACCCAGAAAAGTGCATTGATAGTTGGTGATTACCCTTACTTCGCTGGCAACCTAACAAGGAATGATATTCAAAATATTTAGTAACTGATATGGCAGAGGCACTGAGCTATCAGAACAGACTCTGGTGCAAGGCTGGGGCAGTATCCTGGGAGCCCTTCTGTGCCATGTGTTAACCTGGATTGTGGGTCACGGTCTTTTGTTAAATGGGGGTGTAGGAGGTAGGGGGTCACTGGGGGAAGAGAGTGTTGAGAATGGGGACAAACATGGGAGAAAACAGAATACTATGCTTGTGTATAACTCTGAGGATGCAAAGCTAGCCAGATTCTTTTTTTTCTTTTTTTGAAAATTTTTTAATGTTTTGTTTATTTTTGGGAGAGAGAGAGAGAGACACAGAGTGCAAGCTGGGGAGGGGCAGAGAGAGAGGGAGACACAGAGTCTGAAGCAGGCTCCAGGCTCTGAGCTGTCAGCACAGAGCCCGACACAGGGCTCGAACTCAAGAACCGTGAGATCATGACCTGAGCCGAAGTCAGATGCTTAACCGACTGAGCCACCCAGGCGCCCCTCTATATATTCTTATATAGAGTTCATTTAAGATTGGAGCTGTACCTATATCATCTTTCTTGCTAATTATATATTGGAACACTCGCAGTTTTGTGAATGTAAAATTATTTGCAACAACTTTTGTCCTAATTAACAAATGGGTTTTATAGAGCGGTTATTGATAGTAAGTTTTAGAGTTATATGGACCCCTGATGAGGACCCCCCACCGCTAATGTTAACTAGCCCCTCCTAAAGAGTAATACAACATAAATGTGGTTATACTGAAGTATATTAATATGATTTGAAAGTAAACTGCAGTCATCATAATGTTCTTTTTTCATTTTTACTTTGTGAGAAGGAACATGGTTTCGAAAATTCCATGGATTTGGCTGCCCTTGAAAGCACATCTGACGACCTCGCAAAGAGTCGTCACAGAAACACTTCTGGCACACCGTCCATAGCAGTGTCTGAGGTCTCCCTCTCCTCAGGTGGGTATTTACAGCATGACTACTCTCTTTTAAATTTATTTATTTATTTTGAGAGAGAGAGAGAGCACACGTGAACATAGGGGAGAAGCAGAGAGAGGAGCGAGAGAATCCCAAGCAGACTCCACGCTGTCAGCGCTGAGCCTGACACAGGGCTCCATCTCACAAACCCTGACATCATGACCTGAGCCACAATCAAGAGTTGGAAGCATAACTGACGGAGCCACCCAGGCACCCTTGACTAAGTCATTTGGAATTGACAGTCTTGTGTGACATTAAATGGATATTTCATGCTTTAGAAAATAATCATCTGTCCCTTGACCCGTGATGGTAGGTCCATTCCATAAGAACAGGTTAAATGTGGACCCAGGTGACACCTTGAGCCTCCTGCATTCATGCAAAATCCATTCATTAAGTGTATATGCTTGTCAGTCAAGTTTCAGAGCTATACCAAACATCAGTATAGGAGTGTAGGAAATATAATTGGTTCATTTGGTAGAAAGATAACACTTTTCCAGAATTCAGGGAAATGATAGTTCAGTAGACATGATGGTCTAAAATGCTCTATATCTAGAAAGAATAATTATCCTGTGGTTTAAATAAAAAGTTACTTGTAAGCTGCATTAAAGTGAGTAATAACCCTTTTCATTCGGATGGTACATTCAAATACTGTATATCATTTCACTTCTCCATCACAACAACCCTGTGAAAGCTGGGTATTATTTATGTTGCAATTTTATTACCTACGAATAAGAAAATTCTTTAGAGACATTTGCAGTAGTCCCTTATGTAGAATTACAATCATGACAGAATCCTCAACATGGAAAGGTTAACTGTTACCTAATGATGATATTTGCATAAAGCCTGAGGCTAGATTCTGTGTGCTGAGTTGAGGAGTCTTTCCTAGTCATGTAGCTCACAAAGGGTTTTCTAAATATATGTGGTTCTTGTTGCATTTTGTTCAGGACTGCAAAATTGTTTCTCCTGTTAATAGAAAAATTTTTAACTAGTCTACAGGCCAACCTCATAGATTATATTTCTACTCCTTCTAGTCAACAGCTCCTGTTTTTTGATCACATACTCTGTGTCAGGCACTGTGCTAAGCACTTCTGCAGTGTTTCATTTACCATTTCAAACTCAAGTATGAACTTGCTCTCTTTAATCTTTCTCGTAGTGAACAACTATGTCTATCCCAGCAGGGCTTTGACATAGAACCACCACTCTGTGTAAATGAACTGTCTTTGTCTTAGTAAGTTGTCTACAGCATTACTGAGTGGTGCATTGTTCTTTAAGTTATATTTTTAAGAGGTACCTGGGTGGCTCGGTTGATTAAGCATTTGACTCTTGATTTCGGCTCAGGTCATGATCTCATGGTCATGAGATTATGCCCCACGTCAGGCTCTGTGCTGAGTGCAGAGCCTGCTTAAGATTCTCTCTTTCTCTCCTCTGTCTCCCCCTCTCCCTGACTTGTGTTGTCTCTCTTTCTCTCAAAAAAAAAAAAAAATGATAAATAAAATTAAATAAAAATTTTTTTAAAAATTTCAAACAATTACATATTTGAAAGCAAGATGTTCCTCTGATGAAAGACTATTCTTGTGCCTGAAGAAATGGAACTTTCTCTCAGTTTTCCTATGGCCACTCCCTTTTTATGTGAAAGAAATTTGTTATATCATTTAATAGCATTGTATGTCAAATGTAAAAACACAGTGAATTCTCTAAATATATAAGTCAAGAATGATTAATGCTTTATTTATTTTTTTCTAAGAGCTCATTATATTTTAAGGCCCCGTTCTGTGAGAGTTTTTTAGTCTATGAGAAAAACAGAAGTCTTAGCTTAAAAATTTGCATTTTACAATAGAACATTTAACTTCCTTTAACCAAACGCATCAGTGTTGATAATGCCGTCAAAGAAAATTTGAAAATACTATTTAAAAAAAGTATGTTAGTGTAAGCAGCATGAAGTTTCTCTGACTGTTGCTTTCTTAACACTCCATGCCCTGTGCCTAGAAAGAATGGAAATAATGATAAAACATTGGCAATGAAAAATGAGATTGTAGCACCTGGGTAGCTCAGTCGGTTAAGCATCTAACTTTGGCTCAGGTCATGATCTCATGGTTTGTGAGTTTGAGCCCCATATCGAGGTCTTTGCTGTCAGTGCAGAGTCTGCTTTAGGTCCTCTGTCTCCCGCTCTCTCTGTCCCTCCCTGGCTCACATGGGCACCCTCTCTCTCTCTCTCTTCTCTCTTTCTTCTCTCTCTCTCTCTCTCTTCTCTCTCTCTCTCTTCTCTCTCTCTCTCTCTCTCTCTCTCTCTCTCTCTCTGTGTCTCCCTCTCTCTCAAAACTAAACAAACATTTAAAAAAATGAAATCTTCTAACAAAATTAGCTGATTGATATCTCTCCTGTTCTCTTCCTTCCTCCAGACCAGAGTCGATCTGAATTAGATTTGAGCGGATCATTTCCAGAAGATTTAGAGAATACTGTAAACATAAGAAGCAAGTCTGTCCCTGGGGCTTTAGACAAAGACTTGGTAAGTTGTATGTGGAAGAAAGTCTAATGATCATGAGGAAAGGGCACGGTCTTGTTCCAAACCTTCCCACTTTTAGGTGAGAATAAAGTGAAGATATATGGGAATCTGTTTCTACTGGTCTTCACAACCAATATATAAAAACAACTAAAGCATGTTTTAGAAGGGCTCCTGGAGTGGCTCAGTTGGTTGAGTCAAACTCTTGATTTAAGGTCAGGTCATGATCTCATTGTTGTGAGGTCAAGTCCCACTTCTTCGAGCTCTATGTTGAATGTGGAGCCTGAGATTCTCTTTCCTTCTCCCCTTCCCCTGCTTGCTCATGTGCATTCTCTCTCTCTCTCTCTCTCTCTCTCTCTCTCAATTAAAAAAAAAAGAAAAAGAATGATTTAGAAAAGTTAACTGGTAATCAGGTTAATGGGTGAAGATTATCCCTAAAAAAAATAGCTCTTGGGGATTTCAACTCCTGGCTTAACATCACTTAATCTAAACCTGGAAAATGAAGGATGCCAACATTTTCTAAATCATATACTACCAGATTTATCTGACTATATTTTATATGAACATTTGTACATCTCAAGTTACCCCTAATAAACTACCTTCATAACTGAGATTGAATTATGTAAAAATTAGTGCAAACGTGAACTTGTTTTTGAAATCAGAAGGTTGAGTTAAATTATTAAGTTTCCTTCTAGTTGTAATACCTTGATATTCTGATTTCTGTAATTGCTATAATGCAATTTGAATTCTTTGAAAGAAAGTTATAAAACAATGTTAAATGATAGTAGTATAATTTTCCAAAGCAAGCCAGGAAACTTGGGTTCTAAAGCTCACTGTTATTTACTAGAGTAAAAAAAAAAAAACAAAAACCTGGAAAGTATTTTAAAATCTACCACAAAAGGGGGTGGGGCAATAAGATCAAATGGCTTCAAAGCTTACTTGTGTTCAACCTTTAAATAATAGCTAATTCCAACATTATGAAACTATTCCTGATCCTAGAAAACTCCATAATTGAAATTAAAAATACACTAGAGGGAATCAATGGCAGATTAGAATATGAAGAAGAACAAATAGATGATCTGGAAGACAAGGTAGTGGGAGGCAAGCAAGCTGAACAGCAACGAGAAAAAAGAATAATACAAATTAGAATAGCTTATGGGAATTCAGTAACATCATTAAGCATAATAATATTTACATTATAGGGATCCCAGAAGAAAAGGAGAGAGAAAAGGAGGCAGAAACTTATTTAAAGAAATAATAGCTGAAAGATTCCATAATCTGGGTAAGGAAATAAACATCCATGTCAAAAAGGCACAGAGAGTCCACAATAAAATCAACCCAAGGAGGTTCACATCAACACACATAATAATTAAAGTGGAAAAAAATAATTAGAGAATTTTATTTTTTTTTTTAATTTTTTTTTTCAACATTTATTCATTTTTGGGACAGAGAGAGACAGAGCATGAACGGGGGAGGGGCAGAGAGAGAGGGAGACACAGAATCGGAAACAGGCTCCAGGCTCCGAGCCATCAGCCCAGAGCCTGACGCGGGGCTCGAACTCACGGACCGCGAGATCGTGACCTGGCTGAAGTCGGACGCTTAACCGACTGCGCCACCCAGGCGCCCCAGAGAATTTTATTTTTTAATATAATTTATTGACAAATTGGTTGCCATATAACACCCAGTGCTCATCTCAACAAGTGCTCTCAAAAGCAGCAAGAGAAAATAGTTACATACAAGGGAAACACCACGTGTCTATCAGCTGAGTTTCATCCAAAACTTTCCAGGCTAGAAGGGAGTGGCATGGTATATTCAAAGTGCTGAAAAACAAACAAACAAACAAACAAACCTACAACCAAGAATACTCAGCAAAATTATTCAGAACTGAAAATGAGATACAGAGTTGCCCAGATGAACAAAAGGTAAAGGACTTAAACACCAAAACTGAATCAAGAAGAAATAGAAGATTTGAACAGACCAGCTAGTAACAATGATATTGAATCAGTAATAGAAAAACTCCCAACAAACAAAAGTCCAGGACCAGATGGCTTCACAAGTGAATTCTACCAAATATTTAAAGAAGAATTAATACCTATTTTTCTCAAAATTTCTAAAACATAGAAGAGGAAGAAGACTTTGACATGAATTCTACAAGGCCAGCATTACACTGATAACAAAACCAAATCAAGACACTACAAAAAGAAAACTATAGGCCAATATCTCTGCTGAACAGAGATGCAAAAATCCTCCATAAAATATTAGTAAACCAAATCCAACAGCACATTTAAAAAATAATTCACCACGGGGTGCCTGGGTGACTCAGTTGGTTAAATATCTGACTCTTAGTTTCGGCTCAGGTCATGATCTCATAGTTCCTGAGTTCAAGCCTCACATTGGGCTCTGTGCTGACAGTACAGAGCCTGCTTGGAATTCTATCTCTCCCCCTCTCTCTGCCCCTCCCCTGCTCGCTCACTCGCTCTCGCTCGCTCGCTCTCTTTCTCTCAAAAATAAATAAGTAAACTTAAAAAAATCATTCACAATCAAGTGGGATTTATCCCAGGGATGCAAGTGTGGTTCATTATTCACAAATTAATTAATATTATACATCACATTAACAAGACAAAGGAAAACTATATGATCGTCAGATGCATTTGACAAAGTACAATATCCATTCATAATAAAAACCCTGAACAAAGGGAAACAAGGGGGAACATATCTTAACATAAAGGCCATATATGAAAAAACTGAGAGCAAACATCATACTCAATGGTGGTAAACTGAGAGCTTTTCCTCTAAGATCAGAAACAAGGCAAAGATGTCTACTCTTACCACTTTCATGCAACATAGTGCTCCATGTCCTAGCCACAACAATAAGGAAACAAAAGGCATCCAAATTGATAAGGAAGAAGTAAAATGCTCAGTATTTGCACATGACATGATACTGTGTATAGAAAACCCTTAAGACTCCACCAAAAAACTACTAGAACTGACGAGTGAATTCAGTAAAGTCACAGGATACAAAATTAATACACAGAAATCTGTTGCATTTCTATACACTAATAATGAAGTAGCAGAAAGAGAAATTAAGAAAATGATCCCATTTACAACTGCACCACAAATAATAAAATACCTGGAAATAAAATTAACCAAGGAGGTGAAAGACTTACACTCTGAAAACTATAAAACAGTGATGAAAGAAAGAGCACTTAAGCAAATGGAAAGATATTCCATGCTCATGGAGTGGAAGATCCAATATTGTTAAAGTGTTCATACTACCCAAAATGATCTATGGATTTAATGCAATCCCTACCAAAATACCAACAACATTTTTCACA